GTGCACCTGCCTCCATTTGTAGAGCTAACGTCAAGTGTGCAGGGATCCAACTGCTCCCGTTTCTCCCTCCCCTCCCAGTAGGGTGACCAGATGTCCCGATTTTATAGGGACAGTCCTGATATTTGGGGCTTTTTTTATATATATATAGGCGCCTATTTCTCCCTACCCCCGTCCCGATTTTTCACACTTGCTGTCTGGTCACCCTACCTCCCAGGCCCCCTGCCGGGTGGGGCTAGCTCCCTATGCACTCAGCTCCCTCCCACCCTCCAAGGGTAGCAGTGCCTCAGGGGGATGGGACATGGAGCCTTTCCCCTCTAGGTGGCGCTGTCCCTGATCCGGCCCCAGGGCAGGGGGTTGACGGACTCGGGAGTGGGAGTGGCCGAGCAGGGGTTGGAGGGAACATCCCATAAGGGATGGAAGGAGGCTATGTCTACACTGGCAAGTGAAAAACAAAACTTTTGTCATTCAGAGGTGTTAACCCCCCCCCACCCATAAAAAAAAAAGACAAAAGTTTTGCCCACAAAGTTTTATGTCGGCAGGAGAGCTGACAAACAGTGGTGACACTGCGCGACTTTTAGTGGCATGGCTGTAGTGCACAGCCAGGTCACTAAAAACAAGGTCTCAAGTGGGGTGAGGCCTCAGCTGGAGTAGTGGGTCCAGTTTTGGTCACCAATGTCTAGAAAGGATGCAGAGAACCTGGAAACGATCTGGAGGTGAGTGACAAAGATGATCAAAGGGATGGCCTGCAAACCATCTGAGCAAAGGCTGCAGGAATTGGGTAGGTTGTTTGGAAAAGAGGAAATTAAGGGGGACATGATAGCGGCCTTCAGATATTTGAAAGGCTGCCATAAAAACGATGGAGAAAAGTTGCTCTCTCTTGCCATGGAGGGCAGGACAAGAGGCAACAGGTTAGAACTACAGCACAGCAGATTTAGATTAAATCTCAGGAGAAACTTCCTAACGGTAAGAACAGTAGGACAATGGAACAGACACCTTGGGAGGTTGTGGAGTCTTCTTCACTGGAGGTTTTCAAAACGAGGCTGGAGCCATTTGTCTGCGATGGTTTAGCCACATCAAATCCTGCAACTTGGCGGGGGTTGGACCAGACCCCTGCAGTCCCTTCTAACCTGATGGGTCTGGGATTCTAAGGGCGCCGCTCGTCTCTGCCCAGCTGCCTCTGGGCTCGGGGAGCGACAGCCCCAGCTGCGGGCTGAGCCTGGGAGGCTGGGTGTGTGAGGTAGGCTCAGCACACCCCACTCAGCCCATCACAGGGACTCAGTGGGGCTGGGAGACAAGTCTGGGGTATGGGGGAGGGGCTCTGTCACAGGAGAGTCTGTGTCACTGTCACCACTGCCCCCCAGTATTTCACTGCCCAATACTTCACCATACTGCCCCTAAGCACGGCACGGCACTGCCCTGTCCCATGCTGCCCCCAGCACTGCACTGCCTCCAGCCCTGTACACTACAGTATTTCCCCAGCACCCTGAGGATCATGCTGTGCTGCCCCCTGCAGGTGCCGCCTGGCCAAAGCAGCTCACTCTTGACAGCTGAAGGCAGCCTTGGCCCAGGAAGCGCCAGTTACAGAAGTAGATGGGTGGGATTCCAGCTGCAGGCTCCAGCCACCCTCAACACACATGGGTCAGTTTCATCCTTAAGCTTGAGTCACCCCAGAGCCCAACCAGAGCTCAGGCACCCCCAGTGTGTGCATGCTGGGAGTAAGGGGCACCAGCAGGTGGTGCGGGGCCTGGGGGGGCACAGTGTTGGGTTTGCAGGGGGCTGTGGGTCAGGAATGAGGGGCCCTGGCAGATCTTATGGGGGTAGCCCAGGGCTGGGAGAGCAGGGACTGTGCATCAGGAGCCCAGGGCTAGGCTAGCAAGGGGGTGCGGGTCGGGAGTGAGGGGCGCCAGCAGATCTCAGGAAAGGGCCCAAGGCTAAGCTAGCAAGAGCTATGGGTCAGGAGTGAGGGGCACCACAGGGCAGGGTGGGGAGCCCAGTGCTGGGATAGTAAGGTGCTGTGGGTCAGGAGTGAGGGGCCCCAGCAGATCGGGGGGGGGGGGGGGCCGGGGCGGGTGGGGCGGGGGGTGGGGGGGGGGGGGGGGGGGGCATTGCAGGGCTGGGTGGGGAGCCCAGGGCTGGGATAGCAGGGGGCTGTGGGTCAGTAGTGTGGGACACCAGTGGGGCTGGGTGGGCAGCCCAGGGCTGGGTTGGCAGGGGGCTGTGGGTCGGGAGTGAGGGGCATCGCAGAGCTGGGTTGGCAGGGGATGCGAGTCAGGAGTGAGGGGCACTAGCAGGGCTGTGGGTGAGGATTGGGCCCATGGCCAATGTCTAAGGACTATGAGGGGGGTCTCTGCTTGCAGCTGGGTCAGGCCAGGTGCTGTGTCCTTGGCCCAGCAGCTTCCTGCAGCCCACCCCATCTCTGTCCCCAGGGAGGGGGGCCCAGCAGGGCAGAGCAACGAGATGTGGTCAGTGGGGCCAGGCAGTGGCAGAGCAGGGGGCCGAGGCAGGTGTACATCAGCCTGGGAAGGATCCTGAGCGGTATCTGAGCTGAGCTCCACTGGGGGAGGGGGCAGTAACTGGCTCATCTGCATGCGCCTCCCCTGGCAGCTGGGGTGGAAGCACTGGCTGGGGGCGCTGGGCAGAGCACAGCATGGACACAGGGTCAGAAGCACTGGCTGGGGGGGTGGAGGGGTGCACTGATGGGAGGAATGTGGGGAGTGCTGTCGGGGGGGGGGGGGA